CTTTAAAGCTATGGTTAAATGAGGTCATATAGGCAGATGGGACCAGATTCATATAAAATGTGTATTTGTATTTGTTGCTGTGAAAATAATTGCCTCTGTTGTAGACACAATATGGTATTACATATTGCAAATGTTTAAATATTATGTCCTACTTTTATGAAACTACTATTAAATAAAACATGAAATTTTGAAATATGTATAAGTCTTCTCTAGATTGAAATAGCCCCATTTTCTTCACTATGGAAGAGGCCTTCTGAAAGAAGAGAGTAGTATCACTGCCTTTTTTTAATGCAGCTTTCACAACTTTTCTCGTTCATTAGAACTCTCATCCTAAGTGAGATACTTGAGTTTATGCCCCTCTCAGCCTGTACAAGATTTTAATCCTCATGCTCATCCACAGTCTTTTAAAGACATATATCCTAGCCAAGAGGCTACTCATTAAAAACTGATGTCAGAGTCAAAAACAGCCACAGAAGGAAGAGAAGAAGAATCTCACACTTACACTGCATTCCCTCTGTTCCCCAGTTGATTCCTCACTTTGGCATTTCTAAAACAGAGATCAATGATCTTGATTTAGTACACATAGGTATTGTCAGACTAATATTAATGCTTGTGAGGAATAGGAAGATCCTCAAAAAAACAGTGCAAATTTGGAAATTTGTACCATCTATCTTGCACAGTCCAGATCTGGTTCAGGTTAGAAGTACCTCAGCCAAAAGAGAAGAGATAAAGGCTTCCCCCTTCCTCCAACCAAGTTCACAGCACAGATACATAAACCAGCAAAACTGGCTAGTGTAGCCAGCACTGCTGATTTAAGAAGTGATTGTCAAACTACACCTGAGTGCTCCAGCTGTCCTTGGCACCAGGAATTGCCAAACCAGATCTTCCATGATTGTTTAATCCTTTTCCTGAGTACCTTTTTTTCAGAATAGAGGACAATGGTTGCGTAAGAACTCAAAGTCTAAAAATAAACTCCAAAAACGCAAACACAAATTTCTGTACTGACATTCCCAACTGAATTACTTAAAGAATTTTATATTGCCTATGTATGCCTTTATATACTTATACATGATATGCTTGTATTTTAATGAACAGTAGCTAATCCTCCAGATTGGAGAGAGCCTCCCTTTCACAAGAAGAATGGATATACAAAAGATATGGTCAAATTACTGTTTGATTGCTTAAATGTGATACTACTATATGTTTTTACTAGTATTTCCAGATAATTTTTATATTCTTATCATCACTACTCCAGTGTTCCATGACTAATTTAAAAATCTTAGAAAAAAATCTCTCTTCCTATTGATTCTCTATGTTTTTCCTCTTGCAAATTCTAATTCTCATTTCTGTAAAAATTCCTAATATCCTAGCAGTCTGTTTATTGATGTTTTAATTGGTGTTTGAGTGAGTTAGCCAAATAAACTGTCTGAACACATTTTCAAGAGTATTTGGAAAAAATCCTTCGCTGCACTGAGTATAATTAGGTTTGGCAGTACTCAAATTCTGTAACAACAATTTCCATGGCAGTTTTTTAAAAGGAAACAAGGATAAGATAAGAATTCTTTGCATAACGCTTTGCAGAGAAATTCAACTCACTAGGGCTGTTCTGCAAAATGTTTATTGTCTGCTGAATCTCTAATGCTTTAAGGCAAAATATATCCAAATTTATTCTCTATAAGAAAGACTCAAAATCATTAAATATATTTATTACTAGTCAATATCATATGAAAAAAATTTAAACATGTATCCACTGAACCATCTAGCTAAGTGAAGCACAGATAAATCTGCAAGTCTGTTTGAATCACATTCCTGTACTTCACAAATCTGGGACTTTGGGCAGATGACAGACATTTTCAAATTCCAAGTAGCAATTTCCTTTGTTTTGTCAGATATCTTTCACTGTGTTATACTGAGACCTCTTGAATAATTCTAATTACTGGCCTTTAGAAGTAAAAAATAAACACACATATTTTCTTTGTTTCAGCCTGTATATTCAACCTTTTCTTCTCCCTGACTACCTGGCAAGGTTGTAGGCACAGCTTTCATTCATTATCCTGTTCCGTGGAGACATCAACCAAGCAAATCAAATAATCATTGAACACTTTCATCAATGTACTGCTTTTCAGTTCCATCTAAAGATGCCCAATGTATTTTTCTTTGCAGCAATATGTTGCACTCCAGGTTCATTTTAAACTCTTCTTGACAGCAATTTTTACATGAGAGCTAAAGTTCAGATCACAGTGGACTTTAAGTCACAGCACAAAAACAGGTTCCTCAAACAATTTACTAGATCTTGTAGGTGAGGTTTTCCAAACAAGACAACGTACCCTCAAGTATACAGGCATTTTCACATGGAGTCTGAATTATGGAGGATCATAATGCTCCATTGATAAACATGCTTTTCCCTTTTCCACCAGAATATTATTTGGAAGTCCAGAATTTCACATCTGTGTTAAAAATGTTTTCCCTCAGCAAATCATTACCCTATTGTAGTGATTAATATTGAAAAAGGATCTGTATGCTACAAAAAAGCTATGCCTTTGAAAGAGGTGTGGCAGCTCTAAAAAGTTCCTATGGGACAGGCAAAACATGCTTTTGCCCAGTCCTTTTAGGTAACGCAGTATTAAAATTAACACAGTTCAGAATGTAAAATGGTTTCAGTCAAAAAAAAAAAAAAAAAAAAAAAAAAGTCCTCTGTTTGGAAAAATGAGGATCTTCCAGGAGAGAATCACAGAATATTTAAGGTTGAAAGGGACCTCTAGAGATCATCTAGTCCAACCTTCCTGCTCAAGCAGGGGCACCTACAGCATGTGGCACAGGGTGGCATCCAGGTGGGTTTTGAAGACCTCCAGAGAAGGAGACTCCACAACCTCCCTGGGCAGCCTGTTCCACTGATCTGTCACCCTAACAGTAAAGAAGTTGCTCCTCACCTGGAGACGGAACTTCCTGTGCTCCAGCTTGTGGCCATTACCCCTCGTCCTATCGCTGGCCACCAAAGAAAACAGCTCGTCCCCTTCCTCCCTGCATTCTCCCTTCCTGAACTTAACGTAAGGTAAGCTCCGTTAGGTAAGAAGGTAAGCTCCATCATTAGGACATCACTTGAATAGAGGAATTCCCTTTGAAAAGCAGGAGAATTGGTGTAGTTCTGAGAGGAAACCCAACCTGCATTGATAAAATTGTTCCCAGATTTTCAATAGCAATCATTTTTAGAGCTAGAGCAACAAGAGTGGGAGGTAGGAAAGTTCTCAGAGGTGATCTATCCTTGAAAATAAATATTACTTATTAACTTCAGTCAGTTTATATATTAGCCTCTCTCTTCATAGTATGTGGTTTCAGTTCTCTTTTGCTATACCTGAACGCTTTCTCTTTTCAAACTTGATCTCCTGGGACTATAGTTCATTTCGTATTCCTGTCTCCCTTATGACTCTCTATAAATAAATACAATCCAAAGAAAATACGAAACCATAGTAAAGAAATTAATCTTCCCTCGAGAATAGTCGCTCTTTCCTACTGTTTCCTTCTGTGCCCCTTATCATCCTCTGCTTCTTCACAATCCTCGTAGTCTTTTGTTATTTCAATAAACCTACTAATGTGGAGCAGCCAGCCTAATTGCCACCCACCCCTGGAGAGAGGTGAAAGAGATGGGCAGGCAGGTGTCAAAGCCTCAAAACAAAGGTGAATACAAAGGTATGCAGAACAGTGGTGACTTATAAAGGAGGCTTATGGAGCACTGCTTTGGGAAATGGCTATGCAAAGAATTGACAGCTTCAGATGAAAAGAGAAAAGGAGCACAGATGGGATCCAACCCAGCCTCTGCAAGCACATTATCACAACCCTTAGAGAAAGCCTAAGGAAAAGGATTTAGAGCAAAGGAGTAGGAAAAGAGGCTGGCAGCTCTGAGGAAAGAACAATTTCTGTATGTTTGGATCTGGCACAGTTCAGGAAAGCAAAGTCTCACCCAGCTTTTATGGACAGTCACCAAGGATACTTGACCTTCCTCTAACTGAAATAATACAAATTTTGGCTAACTAATGGAAGCAAAAACAAACAAAAAAAAAAAAAAAACCCAACAAAAAAAACCACCTTTTGTGTTTAAGCAAAAAGGGCCGCAGTGTCTCATATGCCAAGAGCGTGAATCTGGACCACCTGTGTGACACAGATTGCTGCCCATGCAAGTCCAGCTCTCCAAGCCCCTGCTTCAGGATCCTACAAAGAGGCAGGACATCTCCCACATCCTCATTCTCTGAGTCTTCTCCAGGTAGGAGAAACTCACAGGAACTTCTCAGCAGGAGCTCACACTAACCCATTGCCACGTAGGAACTGTCAAGAATTGCCCCATTGTTTATGAGCAACTTACACAAAACTCTTGCCTTTGATTTTTTTGTGGATTGCATTCCCCATCTCTGGCTCCATATAGAAAAATAATAATTACACTGCAATATATCATTTACCTGAGTTGAAAGGCTGAAAATACTAAGGTATCTTCTCATCCACCCTTTATTAGAAACAGTCACTAGGTAGAAATAACTTAAAGCATAAGTTTAAAGCAGTAGACTCCTAACAAAATCCATATCAATGTATTGCTGCCGGTAAACAAAACATATTCCCTGGCCCCAGAAATAATTGTCTAGATGAACAATTTAACATAAAGAGTGCAAAATAAATGGTATTCATGTAACATTAGTTTAGAATTTTGATATGAAGATGTATTTTACTCAATAACTACGACAACCACTATTTACTCTTTCAAGATAGTCTTTGTTTGTTTAATAGTTCAATGAATCACTTGAGATTAAAAAATTCAAAACAGGCTAAAAAAATTGAAAATAATATCACACTGAGAAGATAAATGCTTAATTTGTGTAGGGTGTTATATATGATACTTGACAGTCCTTCTAAAAGTCTTATCTAAATGAATCTTCCCTTTAGGGAGCTCAGAAACTTTAAATTTTGAAATAGTGAAAATTTAAGCAATAAAAGTATCTGTGGTAAATACTCACCCACATGATACCACAGGTCAGGACTTGTTGAAATGAATGAATGGTTGAGCGGACAGTGTAATTAGCTTTGTCTGGAAAGGCAGGGCTCTGGCCCAGCCAATTGGGATCTGTCATTTACTGAAAAACTTAGCATAATTACAGGGTAGTTGATTAAAGGTGTCTCCTGTCACAGACGCTTGCAGCAAGTAGTATAAGAAAACATTACCTGCCACAGGGCTTGCACTGTGTCTATAGCTTACCTCAAGAATACCAAGCAAACACTTTAAAAGAGATCTCTTTTTGTTTTCCCTTTTCTTTTCTAAAGAGGTCTTATTTTACATTCTGACTTCATTTTACTTCTTTTTTTTTTTTCGTTTACTTCATTTAGTGCCCCACTAGTTTGACCAATGGAGCACCAGGCACCACCTGACACTGCTCTCTCAGATATTCAGGCACCACTAGAGTAGTGGGGATGCAGATGTAGGTAATGTTAACACATACCCACATAAGGGCACATAATATCTTAGACATAGTAATAGACATAATAATAATAGTTTGTAAAGCTATTCTGAAATTATGGAGAAAAATATTGAAGATGCAAAGACCTTCTAAGATGCAGAAAGAAGACAAAATAGTATTTCTCGGTCTTTATGTTGTCATCTCATTGTTCCCTAGCATTACTCTTCTGCTACTAATTTTACATAATTATTTAAAAAACATATGTGTTGGCAATGAAATGTAGAATAAAATTCAAAGTAAAGCTTTGGAATTTTAAATATTCATTTTGTACTTGCTCTTTACCTGGCTTGAATTCTTTCACCAGGTGTTTTTGTCAAATAAATTACTTTCCTTCTTCATGGAAAATATTCAGCCAGCTTTGTGTATCAGAAGAACAGCATAAATAAGTCATGAGACTATGTAGGTCAAATTACTGCTGAGAGAAACTGATTCATGAGAGTTAACAACAAAAGCCAGCTAAATGAAACAGCCATTGCTGTTTCAGCCCAAGCTGCAGACTGCAAAGCTCTTCCACTTCACCTGTTGGAATTATTTTTCCTCCCTGTAACACTGGATCTTTATGGTACAGAATCCACTTCATAGGATTCCTACAGCCTCAATAGCACCTTTCATCTGTGCAACACATTTTATGGTCTAATATCTATTTCCCCAGTCAAACAGAAATTTCCTCCAATGTAAGGCTCCTACTAGCAATGTTAAATAAATAATTAAATAAAATCATTCTTAAAGTCAGAAAAAAATGATTTACCATGCTTGGTGGAAGTGATTGTGTGGAATAGAATGAAATGAAGGAGCCCAAGGAGATGGAAATAGTTCCCCAGAGGTGTGGGAAACTAAAGAACAGAATAGGTGCAGAGCGCTACGACCAAGCCATTCTTCCCACCTCATTAAGCTACTAATTTGTCTCAGACATTCTGTAATATCCCCTGTGGCTTCTATCATCAAACCATTTCTTTCAAAATGAGACTTCCTGTCCTTGGTACAGAAAGTTCCCATTCATACAAGCACAGATTATTGCTGCAGTACTCTCCAAGCTTTTCGGTGGGCACAGTCCAGTGTCAATAATGGCCTCACTGGACTACTGACTGAATCACTCCCCCTGTTGAGATTGCCAGAAAAAGTGTTAATTTTTGTTTGTGGCTTTACAATGTGGACATCTGTCCATTAGCAACTGGAGAAAAGCCACGAGTGTCACAGCCCACAGCTGCCAGACTGCAAAGCAGACACTAACAATTTCCAGTTGCTATTGAATGATCTGGATTCAACAACAACCCAGTGCTAAAGGTTATGGTTCTCCTTCAAATCATGAGTATGACTGCAGGTGGCTCCTGGTTTCATTTTGATATAACACAAATTGGAAGGTGTTCCTGCTGATTGTGGGACAGACGGCAAAGATTAGAAAAAAATGAAAAGCCACATCTGGCAGCTGGTAAGGGAGGAGGTACCTGAAGCCAGAGGGTAAGAGAAGATGATAAAGATATGCAAATATTTCCCCCCCATTTACATCACTGAATGCTGCAAATGAAAAATGTAGAGTATGTAACATGCAAGAGCAAAGATGACTCAAAGCTCCCGAGGAGTGCAGCAAAACCAAGTTCTGCTGTGCCAAGAATGAAAGACAGAACAGTTTACTTTTTTCTCGCATTATCAGCAGCAAAACCCAGCTGATAGTATTGTACCAGTACTGTGATTTTGGCAGAGTGAATTGCAAAGCAAAGCATACAAGGTCAACTCAATGGAGGCAGAGGGATATGCTGAGGACAGGGTGTCTCCCTTTCTTCACAAATCCCTGCTTTCCAGCCAGTCTGACCCTACTGTGAAGATGAAACCTATCTCTGAGGCATCTTCACATGTCCGTGAAGTAAGGCACTATTGGGCCAGATCGTGTGTTAAGACACAAATAGCTTTTTCCTAGTCCTCACTCAGAACAGATCAGGTCCTAACCTCCCCATCATATCCCCTTTGCCAAATTCATCCTTCACTGAAGTTCTCTTCTCTTTCCCTATTCCAGGGCAGTTAGAGACCCACAACTTCCATCTTCCTTTCTCCCAAGTGCCCCTCTTTACCCCCAAATCTCCCAGGTATTAGGCCTTAGTTTGCAATTTGTTTTCCTACGCACTCTGTGCTATAGAGCCTATCTTGCAATCTGAGTCCCTCGGGAACCTCGTCTCCTCTAACTTTTCACATTATGCGGCTGACTTCCCTAACCCATTCTCTTTATGAGGGCCACAGTGTCCAAATCTCAGTACTCTGCAGCCTGTTTCCCCATCTCAGAAGCAAGGCAGAGGGCCACAAATAGACTGAGCTCTCCTTTCCATCTTTTTGCCCCACAGATCACTCAAGATGTCAACACAGGCAGAAGGTAGAGCACATGTCAAGCAAATCAAGACTCGTTTCTTGCCAGGGGATCCATCAATGATTTATGTTTTCAAGCATTATTGACATTCTCACACTTTTCCTATACCTACAGAAAGACTAGGGTGCTTTCTGAACAGTTGATATGCTGTAGCTCTTTTTGCAGACCTTTTACATTATGCACAACACTGCACTTCTGCAGCTATGGTTTACCATGTTCCTGGTATATTTCCATATGCAAGCGTACATCTGACTTGTGCAGGCTAGAAAATTCCTGTGACAGGCAGCACAGCACTTTAGCAGGTCTCCTACACACTGTTTCCACTCAGTATCTTCCAGAGCTCATATTTAAACTTTCAAGCATGGCCTATAAGTTTTTGCATGTGTTTTTTTTNTTTTTTTTTTTTTTTTTTTTTTTTTTTTTAATTTCTGCTTTGAATGCCTGATTTTCCTTTGGAAATGGCATATCTAATTTACATTTTAATCTTTCTTATTCCTTGTCAAACTGCCATAACAATAGACACTATCAAAATTAGTGAATAAGATTTTTTTATTTACCTGATTGCCTTTCATATCTCATTGTGTTTTATGTCAATCTGTGCCAAGACACTTCCAAGTTATATCTTCAGATGTGAAAGCTAAAAGCAAGATGAATAAAACGGTTTTACGTCAAGTAAGATATGTTCCTGCATATAATGTGCACATATTGAATATAGCAGCTTTAATAAAGAATAAGAGCAGAAGAGACACCCTTGGCTTACCCAGACAAAGTATAAAAAATGTTTGGGAAATGACTCCAGCTTGAATGAATGACAGTAAAACAAGATACTTCTTAAATCTTTTTTTTTCACTGAAATATCACTAATTAAATGATTACTTTAATACATCGAGGTAATTTTTTAAGCCATCGTTATTCCACATTCTTCAATGTAATGCACACTTGCAATTATGCCCTTTACAATAAACCCACTGGCCTATTCATGCACATCATGGGCATGTCTAGAAAAGGATGCTTTCCGCATACACAGATTCATAAAGATCCTGTCAGGGACAAGCAGACACTCTCTCCCCAGGGCTGTATCTATTCCATGATAAAGACCGTAGAGAACACAGAGACCATTCCTCATATATTCCAGTCCTTTATATTCCAGTCTTTCATATATTGCTGATTTCTTTCCAGTTAAGGTACTTTGGCCGCTGTATTCCAGAAAATCTGGTTTCTCACTCTCTGCTGCCAGTTTACTCTTGTATCAAAATGTGGGTGTGGGAGTATAAAATTTTTATACTCAAAACTCCTTCCTCTGCTAGACAGAAGTAATCCACTTGCAAATCACTACCATGGAAGACATGCAAAAAGCACATTAATATTCTCAATATACATTTTTCTAAAATATTAATATTTTTATTTATCATGCTATAGTCACTGAGAAATGCATGGGTAGAACCTATCACTTATGATACTCATCAGGAATAATTAACTATCTTTGTTAAATAATACTGAACTCCTCCCCCAAGCTGACAGACATGCCACTGCCCAGGTAAAGGTACATGCAAGAAAGGTGATTGAGGAGGCCCTGTTTTCTGGCTGTTGCTTTGCAAAATGGTGTGTATACATGTAAAGAAAGCACAGGAGATCCTCAGATGCTATCCTAGATTCTCCACATGTGTAGCAGGGAGACAATAATGCAAGTTAAGGCAACATTCGTTAGACAAAATCAGCCTCAGCTGTATCTTACCTTAACACAGGAAGCCCTGGACTGCAGTAGCTATTATCAGGAACTATTGTGCCTCTTCTGCTGCAAATACACATTTCAGACCCTAAAAAAAACCCATTTGATCCATCAGCATGTAAGTGTATAAGTTTGCTTAAGAAACCTATATATCCTTCTGGTTTCCTTTTTTTTTTTTCCTTAATGGAATGTCTGTCCAAGAAAAATAAATAAATAAATAAATAAAGGAGTTTCTTAAAAGAATTCTCATATGATAGTGCTTTATGGCATGTGTTTGACAGGCTATTGCTTCAGTTTGATGTCAAGGATTTTCTTGAGACCTTGTTGCAGTTAAATTAGCTCTATTTCATGAGCATTTGGAACTTCCTTGCTGAGTCTGCATTTTCCTCACTCTACTTGTGAAGTCAAGGAGGGAAAAACTCATTAAAGTATGCTGTAACTATTCA